ATTGTAGGAAAATTGCTAAATTTAAATTTTTCAGTATTTTCGTTTTCAATGAATAACTATAGAAAAATGTTTCGAGGTAGATAGATGTATGTGGAAAATGTATATATTCTAAATATTTATAGATGTACTGCAATAAGTTATACAAAATAACCAGAAAAAGCCTATAATAACTAGATAGGAAAGTCATGTGTTGGACAAATCAGATTTTTTGACTATAAAATTTGGAAAACCAATATTTTCTCTATAATAAAGCTACATTTGTTGCATCTCGCTAGGACGTGCCATTTTCAAGAGAAAAGCATGTACCTTATTCGAAAGTGTAAACAATAATTAGTAGGTCTGTAGAATTAGAAATTTTATTTTTTTTTAACTTTGAAAAACCGGTAACTAAAGAAATTTTAGAAAATATTTCATCTGGACTTCACTTGTAACACCCTGTATCTCGAAAACGAAACGTTTTCGGACCTATGTTTATATAAACTTTTACTCCTATTTTTAACCGACTTCATAAAAGGAGGAGGGAGGTTCTCAATTCGTCGCAATATTTTTTTTAATTTTTTTTTTATGTATGTTCAGCGATAATTCTTTAACACGATGTCCGATTTTAATGATTCTTTGTTTGTTAGAAAGGGGGTACTTCAGGGGTGGTCCCATATAAATTTTGTCAAAATCTAATAATTGGGTCCATGACAAAATCCTCAAACTCTTAATTTTTTATGTATGTTTAGCGATAATGCTTTACCACCTTGTCCGATTCATATGATTCTTTTTTGTTAGTAAGGGGGTACCTCAGGGATGGTTCCATATAAATTTGGTTAAGATGTGATGACGGCATCTGCACATTTTTGAAGTCGGTTTTTTTTAATTTTTAATTTCTAATACTTGCTTTTTTTATTTATTATAGATACAAACTAGCTACAGCATTGAATATTTTATAAATAATTATCATATACATAAATAATTGGATAATTGCAAATAAGTAAAGTTCTTTTTAGCTAAATGATTTTAGATTTTAGTTATATTTAAATTAATAAAATCTTAAAATATTTATCCTTGTTTAGTTAATATCCATTATTGCAATTTAGATCTATAAAGACCTATCGAATTTAGGTTTTGAAATTCCACCGGAAGTGCGTTAAATATTTTAGGACCGAGGTATAAAACAGTATTAGTTACGAAAGCAAATATAACTATTATCACAGTATAACACTGATTTGTGATTCGTATCCGTGATCCGAAAAAAAGGATTCGAATCACTTGATTCGAATCCTTTTTTTTTTTGAAAAAGGATTCGAACATTGGATCCGTAATTCGAATCACATCTCGTGATTCGGATTCGTGATTCGAATCTATTTTTTCGAGGATTCGTCCCAGCTCTGGGTGACGGCATCTGCACGTTTTTGAATTCGGTTTTTTTTTTAATTTTTAATTTCTAATACTTGTAGGATGTAGATTACGCTGTTAAAATATGACCGTCTAATTTTGTATATTGGAAATTCGAAATAATAGTTATGACGTAGCGGTGTTTTTCTAATTGTAATCGGACCCTAGGTATATGGATATGGAAAGTGATGAATTGGAGATAGGTAAATTGTATTTATTGTATTAAAAGAACAACAAATATAAGTACAATTAAATAAGTATATTAATATAACAATTTTTTAAAGTCTGTATTAAAAATTTTTTTTTCACATAGATTATTAAATTAAAAAAATAACTATTAAAACACGAAATGTTAATTTTTTCTCTTTTACAACACAAAATATACAATACTGTTGAATCAAAATTTTCTCTTGACAGCAGGTGGTTTCATGAATTAAAGTTAATTCTCTTTCAATCTTAAGGTGTTCATACCCCTTATAATTATCGGACAAGAATATCTCAAAATATTTAAATTTTGGCAAAATAAATTAGGCAATAATATCTATAATATCAGAGACAACACGAGACGGTTAACTTCATAGCAAAAATTGATTGACATTTAGGTATAGTAGTCATCAGGGTCAGCTGGTATTTTATCTTTGTCATGTACATTATTTCCTTATAACGTTATCTTGTTCTCATAAGCTAAAAGATAGCGTAGATGTCGCTGGTAACGTTCCAGCAATGTTGCCGTTATGAACATTTTCCAAATTTGTTTCTTTTACATTTAAATAATAATGATCTTATTTATCCATAAGTAATACTTATATTGGACTTTTAATTTCTTTGTATATAATATATATAACAAAAGATGTGTTTTAAGAAATATATAGCAGGATTGTGTACAAAGAACAAAAATAAAAAGTCAATAGCACTAGAAGAAAATAAGTTTGGCATCACAGCACGAGCATTTCACTTTGACGTCTGCCAGATTGACGTATTTCTAACCTATCATTTTATCTCCTTGTCCAATTTTTTGTTTCTATGTTTGGTGACTTTGGTGTCGTTTTACTTATATATATTTTACAATTTAACTTGTAAATTCATTTTTTTTGTTGTTTTTCACTCATTATTAGTTACGTATTTAAATTTGTTAGTTTAGTGTTTTCCCCGGTAAATGACATTTTTATCATGGTGTTTTCATATTAGGTAGTTTTAAGTTTGTTTACAAACCCGAAGGAACTAACAATGCCCGGATCACGCCGGGATTTTGTTTAATTTCCGTAAAGTAAGTATTTCAATTTTATTGTAGAACCTTTGTGGTGTGAATGTTTAATACAGAATATATCTTATTATTGAAATCATACTTCGTTTTATTTTCCTTTTTAATGCTTTTTATTTTGTGTGCCTAAAAAAAATCATTTTTTTTTCTGATTTGATGTGCTAGTAAATGTGAATTACATATTTATTCACATTTCCAGTGCATCAAATCAGAAAAAAATCATAAAAATAATAGATAAAGTGGATCTACATATTTGAATTTCCCGCGGTTCTTCTTTTTTTAAAAAAATATAATTTGACCGGTTGCTTATAAAGAAAAAGGCCACTATTAAAACACCAGCGCCATCGGCCTTATCTTCCAGTCCAATCGCCCAGTCAATTCTTGGTGAAAAGCAAAATTGCATTGAGTTAACCGTCTCATTAGTTGTCTCTGATAATATGCATATATTTTAATGTTTTAATTCCTTCCAGTTTCCCAAAAAACTAAAAGGGCTTTAATTTTGAAATATCATAATGAAAATAAATGCATTCCTCGACAGCACTATTCTTAATATAATCCCCAAATTTAAGCCCTCAATGTCTTGTTAATGATTTCTTAAAATTCGCCAAAATTAGTGGCTAAAACGCTTCGTTAAGTGCTATCTTCTGGTGTAAACTGGTGTAAATTATTGCAAGAAACGAATAATGACAGAGTGTACGATACGATAGTTACAAGCCCGTTACACTGTTTTCCACTCAATTTATTAAAAAAAGATAATAATAAATTAGGGTCTTAATTTTTTTTCTCGGAAGCTATTGGTTTTAGGAAAAAAATTCAAGAATAAAAAAAAATTAAATAAATCAAGGATTTCATAAAAGTTGATCTCGAAAAAAGTTTTGATATAAAATAAAGTAAGTGTTGCTAATTTCATCCCCCTATAATGTAACAGAAATATTGAAAAAATACCCGTGGTTAGTCCTTTGCGATTACAGAATTTCAAGTTTCTAGCTTTACTGAAATTTTAGAAAAAAAAAAACTCAATTTTAGTCACCACTTTTTAAGGGTGATATCTCGAAAAGGGGTGGGCTGAGGAAATGTTGTTATAGAAAAGACCCATCTTAATTTCATACGAGCACTCAGTTCCTGAATTTTGTCGCATGTATTTAGAAACACCCTGTATATTACACATTTTTTTAAGCGTGAAAAATTCTTGACAATCTCTTTTCCCTAATTGGCACATGTCGTATTTTTCTAGGATTTGCTAACTCTGGCAGCAAACAAATAAAATAGAAATTTGTCAGCTGTGCATTTTTGCCTTTCAGAATTTTTCATTTCATAAATTAACTAAAAACTAAATTAAACAAAAACCTAACAACGCCTCAACAACAAACTAAGACGATCACAATAATTTCGCACCTCTTCAAAAACAACTACCTATTTTTCGACACAGGAATTAACAAATTTAACTAAACGGCAGCTACCCTTTTAACCACGGGCTTCAAAGACTAGCAGCGTTGCCATATTCACTGGTATCATTGTTTTAATAGAATTAGTATCGGAATGAAAACTATGTTAATCTTCGGTCCTGTTTAAAATTGGTAATCTTTTTGAAAAAAAGTTATTTAGAAAATAGTTAAGATATTTGTTATAGAATGCCGGTAAAGAGCCAAAAAATTAAATTTATTAAAAAGTTGAAATTTTTGTTGTTTTTCTTTAAAAATATAAGTTTTTCGCGGTTTAACGAAATTCTTGGTTCATTTTTACAACGATTGGCCTGAACCATTTTTTTTACAATTTTTTTTTAACTGCCTCAAATGTAAAATTGATTTTTGGTGGAGGAGCGCCCCTCATGTTTGCTCTTAAGATATTATCTATACATGATTTAGATGTTGATGTTACTCTAGTATATTCATTAACATTATAAGTTATATCATTGTAATAAATCTGAAACTATCAATTGAGTCTTATTCTTTTAAATTTATATTGAAATCTCCCCCTATCACTACTTTACAATTTCCCTTAGTTAACATTCTTATCATTATTTCAAACCTTTCAAAAAAAAAAAAAAAATGTACCCTTGAACTCGCAGGTCTGTATATTGATAAAACAACTATATTTACATTTTCAACTTCTATTTCACATGCTGCACATTCTATTTCGTTACACACTGACAATAGAAAGCGAAGCATTTATTTAATATGGACTACTTTGTTTCATTGTCATATTACATAAATAACATTCCTCTGAGAGCAAATATGTCCCGCTCATTTAAAAGTTGCAATATTGATGAAGTTTACATTATGTAAACTACTTTTTAAATATTTGAGTACCTCTACTATAATTTTTTTCTTTTGATTTTAAATGTTAATACTTTTAGGGACAAGCTCCAATAATAATGACACGCATAGACGAGAAGACAATCCATTTTCCTTTAAACATTTTCTACGAAGCGACTCTACAAACACTAATTACCAAGCTAAAGGTGCTAGACCGAAAGTATATGAAAATCGATCTGCTTCTATAAACTTTGGAAGCAATTTACCTGAATCGAAACCACCGCGATTGCTTCCAGAGTATTCATCAGCTTTACCGGATTTTGTACAGGATCATCTAGTCATAGAGCAGTGCTATTTAGGAAATCCGTCGTCTAACAATTATAATCTGGATATTGATAATTTACCTGATTTCACGCCTGCTAGACAAAACAGGAACAATGGTATTAGCGTTGAAAATGACCACAGTCGAACTCCTCTAGATCTGCCTATTAGATCTCAGGATTCGTTTCCTTTGGATTTACCTATAGGTGGGCCGAATTCAGGGCATTCGAGAAATGGATCAGCAAGTGAGGTGAGCATGTTTTTATTTTATTATCAATGGGTGTATGTGTGTTCTCTGTAAAAGCAAATAATCTTGTAGATACTTATGGTTACCTTTATTATAATAATAATAATAATGTCTAACTCCTTTTAAATGTAGGCATATATACTTTTTTTTATTATTATTAAAGCTTGCAATTTTGAGCTTAATCTAATCTATATTATCTTTAGTTTTTTTTTTGTGAAAGATTTTTTATTTTATTTCATTTGGAACATATTTTACAGGAAGTGTTTATACAAAGTAAAATACATATTTCTAAAATAATGTGAAAACATCCAGGAGGTGATTTATCCTTGGAAATTAAGATATAGGGTTTCCCTTAAAAAAATTTCTGACCACGCTCTATTGAGATATCACTCATGATTAATCACAATTTTTGTTTTTTAGAATCCCTGTTTTATTTAATAACTTTTTCAGCTATTGCAGTTTACGAACAAAAAAAAAATGTAATTACTTTTCTGCCTAGTTATTACAGGTTTTTTGGGTTATTTTGTACAACCTTTTAATAATTAAAGGATGAACTAAATATATAAATATTCCAATTAACTTGAAAACTTTTTTATTCTTAGTTTGATGAAAAAAAGGCTTTCTTTATAAAAAGTTCTGCATAGTCCAAAACTTAAAATGCAACCATCAGATATGATTTTTTTTTAAACCGTATACGAGGTTTTTCAAAAAAAAATATGAATTTTGCTGAAGAGTAAAGTACCTTTATTTTTGCCAAACCTCGTATACGACTAATAAAAATTGATATCTGCTGGTTGTATTTTAGGTTTTAGACCATGCTCGACTTTTTATGAAGAATAACTTTTTTTCCTAATATTAGTAATAATAAAATTTTTCATATGCCGCCAACTTACGTAGACAGTTGGTGGCATGTGAGAAACTTTTTATTTGAGAGAATACAGAGTGTTTTAAAGAAATTACTCTTACAAGAATTATAGAGAATGATATCAAAAACAACTTTTATTTGAATAATTTTCTTAAAAATTTTAATTTTTTTTTTACATTTTGTCAAATTTCTCGAATACAGACCATTTTAGGAAAAATTTGTATGTGGCAAAAATTATAGAGAATAATTATTAGAAGTAACTTTTATTTGAAGAATTTTCTTCTTCAAACGTAAATAACAGATATATTACATAAAATATAAAAGTGACCTCTTATAAAGTACACCTCAGATGTTCCGACTCTGCCCAAAATCTACTCAGTTCACTTTAGACTGGAATAAAGCGTAAGTTTAAATTTACGTGTTTTTATCTGTATCCGTTCGTGAGTTATCAAGTATAGAGATATAATCGCGAAAATAGTAAAAACGATTTAAGGAACCTCAAAACGTAAAAATCCATTGAAAACTCGAGGTTGAAAAAAATGATTCCTATACTTTTCTTATCTGTATACAGACAGGAAAGTAAAAAATAAATATACAATAATTTTGAGTCTTACTTTCATTTATTTATCGTTCATAGCCCAATAAAACGTTGGTATCTGGATTTTTCGGTTTATCTTTATTTGTATTTTTGTCAGGTGAGGAACATTTTATATGCCGGCCCCTGCGCTTGGGATTTGATCTTAAATCTATCACGATAAAGAGTGTGGGACTTCAGGGCTCCCTGAATGCAACTCCCTGTTTACCCACTAAACCTCACCTCATATCCCTACCGTCCTTTTTTGGAACCGCTCTCGCATTACTTCGGAAAAGGAAGTTGTCCATCTGGTTTTCTCAGTTTCTACTGTCTTTTTCTTTTGTCTCGAGAATCGATCGGACTGCTTTCCATCCTGCTTCAGAATCCAGTAGGCTGGCTGTCAAATTTTCTGGGTGAAAGGTATACCCCATTGTATCTTTAAACAGTCTTCGTTGATGTTCCCACATCTATCTATCTGTCTGTCTGTCTGTCTGTCTATCCTGTCTGTCTGTCTATCCTGTCTGTCTATCCTGTTTGTCTGTCTATCTATCCTGTTTGTCTGTCTATCTATCCTGTTTGTCTGTCTATCTATCCTGTTTGTCTGTCTATCTATCCTGTTTGTCTGTCTATCTATCCTGTTTGTCTGTCTATCTATCCTGTTTGTCTATCTATCCTGTTTGTCTGTCTATCCTGTCTGTCTGTCTATCCTGTCTGTCTGTCTATCCTGTCTGTCTATCCTGTCTGTCTATCCTGTCTGTCTGTCTATCCTGTCTGTCTGTCTATCCTGTCTGTCTGTCTATCCTGTCTGTCTGTCTATCCTGTCTGTCTGTCTATCCTGTCTGTCTGTCTATCCTGTCTGTCTATCCTGTCTGTCTGTCTATCCTGTCTGTCTGTCTATCCTGTCTGTCTGTCTATCCTGTCTGTCTATCCTATATGTCTGTCTATCCTGTCTGTCTATCTATCCTGTCTGTCTATCTATCCTGTCTGTCTGTCTGTCTGTCTGTCTGTCTGTCTGTCTGTCTGTCTGTCTGTCTGTCTGTCTGTCTGTCTGTCTGTCTGTCTGTCTGTCTGTCTGTCGGTCGGTCGGTCGGTCGGTCGGTCTGTCTGTCTGTCTGTCTATCCTGTCTGTCTATCCTGTCTGTCTATCCTGTCTGTCTATCCTGTCTGTCTATCCTGTCTGTCTATCCTGTCTGTCTATCCTGTCTGTCTATCCTGTCTGTCTATCCTGTCTGTCTATCCTGTCTGTCTATCCTGTCTGTCTATCCTGTCTGTCTATCCGGTCTGTCTATCCGGTCTGTCTATCCTGTCTGTCTATCCTGTCTGTCTATGCTGTCTGTCTATGCTGTCTGTCTATGCTGTCTGTCTATGCTGTATGTCTATGCTGTATGTCTATGCTGTCTGTCTATCCGGTCTGTCTATCCTGTCTGTCTATCCGTTCTGTCTATCCTGTCTGTCTATGCTGTCTGTCTATGCTGTCTGTCTATGCTGTCTGTCTATGCTGTCTGTCTATGCTGTCTGTCTATGCTGTCTGTCTATGCTGTCTGTCTATGCTGTCTGTCTATGCTGTCTGTCTATGCTGTCTGTCTATCCTGTCTGTCTATCCTGTCTGTCTGTCTGTCTGTCTGTCTGTCTGTCTGGCTGTCTGTCTGTCTGTCTGTCTGTCTGTCTGTCTGTCTGTCTGTCTGTCTGTCTGTCTGTCTGTCTGTGTCTGTCTGTCTGTCTGTCTGTCTGTCTGTCTGTCTGTCTGTCTGTCTGTCTGTCTGTCTGTCTGTCTGTCTGTCTGTCTATCGGTCGGTCGGTCGGTCGGTCGGTCGGTCTGTCTGTCTGTCTGTCGGTCTGTCTGTCTGTCTGTCTGTCTGTCTGTCTGTCTGTCTGTCTGTCTGTCTGTCGGTCCGTCCGTCCGTCCGTCCGTATGTTCATTATGTCTGTATGTATGTCTGTCTGCCTATCTATCTATATATCTACCTACCTATCTATCTAATCTATCTATCTATTTATCTAAATATTGTGCAGTGCTATAAAGTTGCAAGGGATAATAGTTGTTCTTCTCTCATCAACTTTCTTAAATGCATATTTGTTTATGTATAATCTCCCCAATTTTTTTTAAATTCTTCAAAAAATTAGATCTCTGCTAGAGAACCAAATTAAAGCTTAATTATCTAACTTTTCCCTTATACTTTCTTTAAAATCATTTATCTTATGTCTTAATTTGTGCTTTAGTATTTTCACAAATACTTTCAGATGGTAGCTTTCTGATATTTCCGCCAAATTTGTTTTATTTTCTAACCGGCATTCCCATTTATACCATTATTCATCTTATAGTTCTATCTCCTTTAGTAACGTTTATTTCTCTTTGTTTTAATAATATTTCTGTTTGTTCTTTCATACTTAGTGTTTTAATCTTTGAAAGGTTTCTTAATCTTCAGCCATATTTCTATTAAGTGTATATCTTTGTGTTATTGATCTTGCTAATTTATGTGTTCCTTGTCTTCTTGTAAGTTTTTTATCAACACCATTCTAGCTATCATTTCTCTTCTTATCTAATTGTTTTGTTTCTTCAGTTTTGTCTCTATTCGTCTTTAATTCTTCTATTTTTCTGATAATTTATACCTTAACTCTTTTTAATTCCTGAATATCTTCCTTTATATCACCCAACTTCTTGGCCATACCATCAATTCTTCTTTTTTGTTTTCATCTATCTTCTATATAATTCCATCTTTTCTATTATCAATTGGCTTTCCATTTTTACCCATTTTATTACTATTTTTCTTAATTTTCATCAAAGTAATGCTCAATATAGTATCTTCATCATCTCTCTTTACTGATTCTTCACTGTTTTTTCCTGCTATAGCAATAAACACTTGTTTCTCATTTTTCCTTTCTTCTATAACTATATTGTCTAAATTGTATGGTTCCATGTTTCTTTATCCTTCTTGAGCTTCCTTTATTGCTCTTCCTTTATTGCTCTTCCTTTATTGATCTTCCTTTATTGATCTTCCTTTATTGATTCTTCCTTTATTGATCTTCCTTTATTGATCTTCCTTTATTGATCTTCCTTTATTGATCTTCCTTTATTGATCTTCCTTTATTGATCTTCCTTTATTGATCTTCCTTTATTGATCTTCCTTTGTTGATCTTCCTCTATTGATTTTCCTATATTGATTTACCTCTATTGATCTTTTAAAAGGTAATTAAGTTCATATGTTTTGCTATGAAGAGTGGAAGATACTTTAGTAGTACATTGTTGAATTCTCTCCTGAATATCATTATCCTTGATGTGCAGCTTATTCTTTATAGTTACATAAAAAGGCATAAGACTACATAATGAATTATATGTATAAAGAGTGTTATACAAAGGTTTCTAAAGCAGGCTTTGATTAATGCGACTCATGTCCTTGATAACTATGCACAGCTCTGAATTAAATCCAAAATGACTTTTATCAAGAAGTAGAATTTTTCGTTGGGACTTACCCGAAGATGCCTACTTTAGAAACAATTTTTGTATCATTCTATATTATAAGTTTCAATTATTACAGGTTGGAAACTCAAAAAGTTTGCCGGACTTCCTAGCAGACAGTGCGGTGTGCTCGCAGAAAAACGAAACGATATCTGTACCCCATAGCCCAGAGGGAGAATTCGAAAGACTGAGAAATGAATTAGACATCACAAAAAGACATCTAGTTGATAAAAGTAGATTATGCGATAGTTTAAATAGAGAATTGGAAGTTGCTAGAACTAAGGAACACGAATATACTCAAAATCTTGCCAGGGCTCTTGAAAAAGTCGAGGATAATTTGCAGAAGAGTAATGTAAGTAGGATAATATATATTAAAATAAAATAAATTTATTATACATTTGTATAAGACAGAAGAAAGCTTGCAAAGTTAAGAATTTAGTTATTGTTAATGATTTAAAATAAAATCATTACAAATGGCGCCCAACGTGGGGCCAAATTTTTTAAATATGTAATATATTACAGTAAATTTATCCAAATTTTTTGGTGTCGAAAATAAGTATATTTAATCTTTATAAAAAATGGATAGTAGAAAAGTTACAAGGTGTCTAAAGGATCAGAGCTGGGACGAATCCTCGAAAAATGGATTCGAATCACGAATCCGAATCACGAGATGTGATTCGAATCACGGATCCAATGTTCGAATCCTTTAAAAAAAAAAAGGATTCGAATCAAGTGATTCGAATCCTTTTTTCGGATCACGGATACGAATCACTGTCAGTGTTATACTGTGGTATTAAGTATATTTGCTTTCGAATCTAATACTGTTTTATATTTCGGTATTCTGTAAAATGAGTTTTGACCCGTAAATAAATAAAAACATATAAAACTTGAAGCTGAAAAACGAAGCTGGCTGTCACATTTAGCATATAGGCGATTACCTAAGTGACGCGCTCTACTGACTACATACTCGTATAAGTAAAAAAATTGTTTAAACTTTACTTAAGTTTCCTTGTAAATATAAAAAAACTCTAGTTGATTGCCGTTATTTATAGATTTTTCACAAGAATCATTAATTTTTAATTATGTTGTTAGAAGTTAAAAGAATTAACTTCAAAATTATTGTTTTTAAAGGATTTAGCACCCTGTATACTATAACACCCTGTATAGCCACTTCATAAAACACGTGTTAACATGGTTTTATAACGTTTTATTAAATATCTCGTAAACAATGTTTGAAAAATTCTCTAAAAATTCTCTAAAAATTCTCTAAAAATTCTCTAAAAATTCTCTAAAAATTCTCTAAAAATTCTCTAAAAATTCTCTAAAAATTCTCTAAAAATTCTCTAAAAATTCTCTAAAAATTCTCTAAAAATTCTCTAAAAATTCTCTAAAAATTCTCTAAAAATTCTCTAAAAAATCTCTAAAAATTCTCTAAAAAATCTCTAAAAAAATCTCTAAAAATTCTCTAAAAATTCTCTAAAAATTCTCTAAAAATTCTCTAAAAATTCTCTAAAAATTCTCTAAAAATTCTCTAAAAATTCTCTAAAAATTCTCTAAAAATTCTCTAAAAATTCTCTAAAAATTCTCTAAAAATTCTCTAAAAATTCTCTAAAAATTCAAAAATTCTCTAAAAATTCTCTAAAAATTCTCTAAAAATTCTCTAAAAATTCTCTAAAAATTCTCTAAAAATTCTCTAAAAATTCTCTAAAAATTTCTAAAGATTTCTAAAGATTTCTAAAGATTTCTAAAAATTTCTAAAGATTTCTAAAGATTTCTAAAGATTTCTAAAGATTTCTAAAGATTTCTAAAGATTTCTAAAGATTTCTAAAGATTTCTAAAGATTTCTAAAGATTTCTAAAGATTTCTAAAGAGTTCTAAAGATTTCTAAAGATTTCTAAAGATTTCTAAAGATTTCTAAAGATTTCTAAAGATTTCTAAAGATTTCTAAAGATTTCTAAAGATTTCTAAAGATTTCTAAAGATTTCTAAAGATTTCTAAAGATTTCTAAAGATTTCTAAAGATTTCTAAAGATTTCTAAAGATTTCTAAAGATTTCTAAAGATTTCTAAAGATTTCTAAAGATTTCTAAAGATTTCTAAAGATTTCTAAAGATTTCTAAAGATTTCTAAAGATTTCTAAAGATTTCTAAAGATTTCTAAAGATTTCTAAAGATTTCTAAAGATTTCTAAAGATTTCTAAAGATTTCTAAAGATTTCTAAAGATTTCTAAAGATTTCTAAAGATTTCTAAAGATTTCTAAAGATTTCTAAAGATTTCTAAAGATTTCTAAAGATTTCTAAAGATTTCTAAAGATTTCTAAAGATTTCTAAAGATTTCTAAAGATTTCTAAAGATTTCTAAAGATTTCTAAAGATTTCTAAAGATTTCTAAAGATTTCTAAAGATTTCTAAAGATTTCTAAAGATTTCTAAAGATTTCTAAAGATTTCTAAAGATTTCTAAAGATTTCTAAAGATTTCTAAAGATTTCTAAAGATTGCTAAAGATTTCTAAAGATTTCTAAAGATTTCTAAAGATTTCTAAAGATTTCTAAAGATTTCTAAAGATTTCTAAAGAGTTCTAAAGATTTCTAAAGATTTCTAAAGATTTCTAAAGATTTCTAAAGATTTCTAAAGATTTCTAAAGATTTCTAAAGATTTCTAAAGATTTCTAAAGATTTCTAAAGATTTCTAAAGATTTCTAAAGATTTCTAAAGATTTCTAAAGATTTCTAAAGATTTCTAAAGATTTCTAAAGATTTCTAAAGATTTCTAAAGATTTCTAAAGATTTCTAAAGATTTCTAAAGATTTCTAAATATTTCTAAAGATTTCTAAAAAGATTTCTAAAGATTTCTAAAGATTTCTAAAGATTTCTAAGGATTTCTAAAGATTTCTAAAGGTTTTTAAAGATTTCTAAAGATTTCTAAAGATTTCTAAAGATTTCTAAAGATTTCTAAAGATTTCTAAAGATTTCTAAAGATTTCTAAAGATTTCTAAAGATTTCTAAAGATTTCTAAAGATTTCTAAAGATTTCTAAAGATTTCTATAGATTTCTAAAGATTTCTAAAGATTTCCAAATATTTCCAAAAATTTCCAAAGATTTTAAAAAATTTTCAGAATTTTCCAAAGATTTCCAAAAATTTTCAGAAATTTCCAAAGATTTCCAAAGATTTCCAAAGATTTCCAAAGATTTACAAAGATTTCCAAAGATTTCCAAAGATTTTCAAAGATTTCCAAAGATTTCCAAAGATTTTCAAAGATTTCCAAAGATTTTTAAAGATTCTAAGATTCTTAAACTTTTAGAAATTCTAAAAATCTAAAATCAAAAATGTTTTTAAAAGAGTCCCGCTTCTCTTTCACTCCCCTATTTTGATATACAGCGAAATTTAGTTATAAACAGGACGCCATTGAAATCCTACATGTTTTTTTTTTAATTTCATGTATATTTTTCTTTTCAATCATTTTTTTCTTCAATTATTTTTCTTTTTGATCAATTGTTATTTGATAAAATGTTTTCAATCAATTTTGTGCCACTCATATTTCACTTTTACTTTTTATTTATTTTAAAATTTTGAATTTTGTTTTAATAAATTCATAACAAGAGTGTATGATTTATTTATTTATTTATTTATTTAGAGGAGAGCAGTAGCTGCAGAAAATATGGTATTCAAATTGAAACAGGAAATACAATCTCTCACTGTAAGTCATTTACTATCTTTTCATTTATTTACTACCTTTATCATTTACTATACCTTATCATTTACTACATAATTTGTATTTAATTTTTAAATGTACAGGCCCAACTCAGTTCTATCCAATCTGGAAGCCATGGTGAGATGGGAGAAGAAGCTGCTGGAGGCCACGGATATTACAATTCTACAAACCATTTGCACTATCACAGATTAGCTCAAGAATTAAGAACTGCTGCTGGTACAGCGGAACATTCATTAAGGTAAAGTGCTCGATAATTAAATATGGAAACTAAGAAATTTAAGGTGTCAAACATGCAGACCCTCACTAGGTCTTTTAAACTTAGTACTTGCTTTCAATTCAGTGTTTTGTTTTATCAGAATTTGTGATCTCTTTGATGAATAGTTAGGTTGTGGGTCTTTAAAAAGTGTTTATCCTATCAAATTAAATAATTGTCATTGATTAGAGGAACAAAATAACATGTCTTGTATAAAATTAAAAGTCACGATGATGATCAATAACCGAAGTTGCTTAGGAGATGAGTTTAACCTTTGTCATACTAGAAGAGTTGCCTAAAAGGTGATAAGTGTGTGACGTTCTAAGGTAGGAATGTATGTAGTGTTGAACTGGATGTTTCCTGTTATGTTGACATGGTCTGAGATTCCTATAGGAGACTACACTGAATTAAACATTAGTTTTAATTTTGATACGTCATCTCTCATACTGACTATAAAGTTCTGACTCTGCAAGTACTGTGAGGAATGTGACTATATAGGGTGCAAAGAGTGAACAAGAAAATAGTCGACGAATCTCGAACGCGACGATAACGAAATTCCGGTGCCCAGTATACACCACTTTATTAATTTTAATAAATCTAGTTTAAAATAAATTTCTAGTATTTAATTTAAAAGGGACCAGAACCCCGACAATTCGAAAAATAGGCTCCCCAGGCAGCACACTTTGGTATAAATTACGTTTTTTTAGGTATTACCATACTTATGAATACGGTTAATGTACTACCAAATATATTTGTGAAAATGTCCGCCTTATAAACATATATTATTTGTCATATATAAACGTCGATTACTAAGAATTTATCCACCTATCAGTAAACATTTTTACTATACGTCTATATTAGATTTATAGTTGTATATTTATATGAATCCATTTTGATATAAAAGACGTTTTTTTTATGTACTACATTATACGTATGGATACCCTTGCTATGCTACCCAATATACAGGGTTGGCCAAATCTCTGTCTTAGTTCTATAACTCCTACTATGCAAATCTTAACGATTTATTTGATGTATATCTGTCAATGGTGGCCAATACCAAATATCCCAAAATTATTTTCTTGTTACAGGGTGGCCCAATAGTAAATTAGGCAAATCACTTAATTTTTTTTAAAAGGAATGACCCAACTTTTTTACAATTTTAGGTACTCTATGGTCACTAGTACATACCCACAAAATATTGTTTCTAACATCCCACCCCTTTCGCAGAAAAAAAAAATTACCAAAAAATATTACATTTTCAGACGCCTATTAAAATATGCAGTGCTCTCTCGAATTTGATGTTAGAATTTAAAAAACTACGATTGTATAAAGCCAATAGACCAAAGATTTTTTTGGACCAAGTTTGAATTTTTTATTTTGTACAGGGTGGTCACAAATTAATTTCACTTTCCAAAAATTTCGAAGGAAATTTTTTAAAATTTTTCAAATGTATTACCCTGTATTTCTATTCATATGAAGGAGAATTTCATACCCTTCCACTTCCCTATGTACTTTCCTATACCTATCTGTCGCCGTTATAAAATAAATTCAAAAGGAAGAAAATTACGATAATAAAATTTATTTGAAATTTATCCTAAAACATAAATTTACATTTTATAAAAGATGCTCAAAATATCTGCCATTTTCTCTAATGCATACATTTATTCGTTGGGCGAATGATCGAGAAACGTTTCTAAGCATATCAGGTGTAATGGAATGGAAAGCTTGCACTATCCTTTCTTTCATATTTTCAGGTGTTGTAGGTGGCGTAAGATAGACTAGATTTTTAATATAACCCCACAAAAAATAATCGGGTTTTGTTAAGTCAGGTGATCGAGCTGGCCATTTTTTTGGACCATTTCTACCAATCCATCTATTTGGAAACTTTTCATCTAATTCATCTGCCACTTCGCGTAAAAAATGCGGTGCTGCCCTATCATGTTGGTACCACATTGTTAGTCTTACAGCAAGGGAAATGTTTTCAAGTAAAGTAGGAAGATGATTTGCTAAAAAATCTAAATACATCAGACCATTTAGTTGCCTTCAAAAAAATACGGCCCAATAACATGATCCCCAATTATACCTCCCCAAACATTTACACTCCATCTTTCTTGGCTATGTGTTCTGATCTCCGAGCAATTACTAATAGAGGGAGAGTGAAAAGTTTGTAGGCGATTGTTGTGTTAGCAACATCTGTGGAGGAAGTGAGGAAGCGGGCACAAGGGGGAAGGTAAACATCCTTCTTGTTCAGTGGCGTATCATTTATCTATAAAAACACACATTGTCCAAACGTTTTAATTGTAAAAAAAAACTTAAAAAATTTGCTAATTTAACTATTTTTAAAATGAATACCGTCTTATATGTGTTTAATGCAGGAAATGAAACAAAATCACTGTAAAGGTCTAATTTTTTGAATTGAAGAATAAAACCTTAAAACAATTTTATTATAAATAAATACAGGAGCGACTAGTTTCGGCCTTACAGGAACATCTTCAGGCCTGTAATACAATAATATTTAACTATTATAATAGGTTGGTCAATTACGAATAACATTAAATAATATAAACCACAAAAATGGATCCATATTGTAGCGTTACAGCATTATAGAATTAAAGCTGTGGAAATAAAAGAGCAGTGCAAACGTAACTAAAAATAAGAAAACTGAGTACGGAATCTACAAGAGAAGAGGTGAGAATGAGCAATTACGAATGTATTTAAATTGCTCGGGATAACAAATAAAGCTGATAATGTAGTGGTATAGTCCCCGTCAAAGAAGGTCTGGATAAGTTAAGGAGGACGGCGTTTTCTCTGTAAATCTGGAGAATTTAAGGATGGAGGGAAGACGAATCTTGCTGGCTCAGGTGTAGATGGCTAGAACTAGAAAAAGGAGCATGTAGATGAAAGCTCCAGTAAATATCGTCACTTTCGTCTAATTTTTTATTCTCACTCACCGTTTCGGCTTTATTTTCAAAATTCATTTTTAAAAGGAAATAAAAGTAATCATTTATACAAGCATATAATAAAACAACATGAATTCATTATATTTAATAAGCTAATAAATGTTTGTTTCACTGAAAAAAACATATATGTGAATATAAAAAATATATAAATAGATAAGATTAATATCAAAATTAAGATATAACAGATAATAAAATGAAATAAATTAATACAAGTACAAATAGAAAGTTAATAACATACCTTCTAAAAGTAACACATTTTAAGTAGATGAAAGTTTAAAGAGTTTATTCCTGAACATAACTAATCTAACGTTTTCCCCCTTTTTAATATTATGAGGGTTTTTGTAGTTCAAATGAAAATTATAATTTATTTTGGTCCTAATAAAAATTTAAACATAGGTTATCAAAGAGTAAATAAAATACATAATAGAACTTCATAATCTTAAATCGTTATCAAAAATTATTAATGGTAAAACTTCAAACAATAATTAGATTCTTAAACAAATTTCTAGTTTTTGTTTTGCAAAAGACTTTTTTGCCTTCTTCGGTTGCCTCTGACACTTTTCTTTTAGTGGTTTCGAGGAGAATTTTCCTATGGAAACCAGTAGAACCATCAATTGGTTAGTAAAACTTTGATATTTTGGGTCTGGTAAGTCTTGTTAAACTTTCTTCTTAGGAAGCTGTAACCTTATGGAGAATAAAAATTTAATGTTAGATCAAAAGCTCTTAATTGAGAATTATATTTGCAAAGGCCGTTTTAATAATATTTTCAAAAGTTCTTGGAATCGTTGTTAACAGAAACCTGCAAAAAAATATATTATTTTATTCCTAAAATATAAGATGTCACACAATGCACATTCATATATCATTGTGCTAGAAAAATACTAGGTAGGTACTGAGACAATTTAAAAAAAATATTTCGAGAAACTCAACTTTTAATGTCATCATTGTACTTAACTTTTTTATTGTTAAATTATTAATAATGTCATTTTGTGTAGTTCGTTGTGATTTGTATAATATATATTATAAAAACCTATCGTCAATGTTAATGTGCCAAGTTTTTTTAATAATTATGTCCTTGTTATAGTAAAAACACATTTAAACACGTTTTTAAAGTTTTCTGGATTTCTGCTTTAAATTACCGTACAAATGAACTGACTAATTGTGTGTTTAAGTAAAGGTATATCTCTTTTTTGTTATAACAGTCTTTGTATATTTGTTCTAACTTTTTAGATAATCAGAGAAAACAGTAAGACATCTTAATATATCCTATTTCACCAACAAAAATGTAGAATAATTAATCTCACATCAAACGAAAAAAGTCATTTCAGGATGTCCTAAGAGGTTTTAACTTAAAAACTAAATAAAATGTACATTGCAACTGTGTTTAAATAAATGAATGTTTTTACACCTGACTATAGCACCAGACAAACAATTTTTTAGATCATAATGATCTGCATAACTCAAAATAGTCAAAATCCACATTATTTAAGTTATTCTAGTATTGTTTTAGCATAACGATGTAAACTCCAATAATAAATATTCACATTTTTTTGGGACGTTTTAAAGGAAATTAAAAAAAAAAACATGAATAATGTGATATTCTTGTTTAGTTTTGTACTATATAATATAGTTCATTAGGTAGTGATTTAGAAGCAAATTAGGTTCTATTTATAGAATAAAAAATCATTCATAATATCTAAATATTTATACCTATTTATATTTTGGACAGGAAGACTATTTTAGATTTTTGGCTCTGAATAGTTTTCTTAAGAATTTTAAAACCTTCCTTAGCTCTTTGGGATATTCTTAGAAGTTCATTTTGTTTAAACCTAAAACAAATTAAGTACAAAAAATGAAAATTTAAACAATACACAAACTTAGTCTTTCAGATTAGTTAAAAAAAAGTGTCAACAAAAAAATGGCTATGCCTTTTTCCTTAAACATTCTTTTTGAAAGAAACTTAAGTTTCTCTACTTACTTGCTGTTTTAGTATTTTAGTAGCAGATGAATATAGTGTAGAAGTAG